TGACACTGATACTTTTGCTGTATATGTAGCCAAAGATAACTCTCTCCATGATTAATGACACTGATACTTTTGCTGTATATGTAGCCAAAGATAACTCTCTTCATGATTAATGACACTGATACTTTTGCTGTATATGTAGCCTGAAAAAACTCGATAATAGTACTACATACATCTGTAAAAGTTAAAAAAGATAATAATTGTTACCAATGCTAATTCGTCGAACTCGGTCCTATCATGAATATTATTGCCCGCTTCTGAATATTTTACTAGTATAATTACATTACATGCAATTAGTAATTTTATTGCGGTGTAAAAGTGTTGATCGTGCACACATTTTTAGAATGAAGTGCTTCGGCGTTTCATACAAAAGATGCTTCGGTCAACACTTTTACACCCCAGTAAATAAAAATGTGTGCACGATCAACACTTTTACAACCCTATCAAATTACCAAAAGAAGCCATCATTTCTTATAATTACATTTTTATGCTAAGACCATGAACAAAAAATTATAAAGTTTTTCTTTTATTTACCTGTGCACTTTTTGTGGAAGCACGTGTCATCACCAAAGTAACATTTCATTTTAATATGAAGGTCAATTTTTGAATGACGCGCGATTGTTGTTATCCAATCGAACTAACGGATCCTCGTGAAATTTTTTTATGGTCTTATTAGCATAAAAAATGTAATTATAAGAAATGAATGCTCTTTATTCTAAAAATGTGTGCACAATCAACAATTTTACACCCTATAAAATTACAAAAAAATTTCTTAATTAAGGTCACACGATACCCAATGACGTTACGTTATGAGTATTCCTTCCTGTCAGACGTTTTTGAACAACGTTCTTAGATACCAGTCAATGCAGCAGGTTCCGTCGTGTTTCTGGAGGTTGACGACAAAAACATGTAATTGTATCGCGAACTAAAAACATAATGAAATAATCGTTTATTTTTGTTAAACATTTTTTATTGTAACTTTGCATAGATGCAGAGTGCCGAAATATTTGATGCAATACGTTATTTGACATTGATCGTTTAGTCGTCTTCCTCCCATTCTTCTGCTCATTCTTTACATTTAAATCTATACTTTTAAAATGTTTTATTCTATTGACAAGTAAGCATTTGCACGATTTATCTATATCTGTTGAGAGTTTTAAACTTAATCTGCGTTGGTTCATTTTTTCGTTATAAATTCTTAGTTATGATGCACGCCGTTTCCCGATGAAATTTTGTTTTGAAAGTAGAAACCCAAATTATAGAAAACTAGAATAATATGTGAAATAACGGGGAATTGTATCACTATTATTGCAATTCCGTTAAGAAACCCCTTTGTTTTAAAATGGTCGCCGAAAAAAAGCCGTTTTTTTTATTTTGTCAGGCATGGAATGAAAAAGGAGAATAGTTGAACTTGGTTATTTGGCCGAACACAAACAACACTTTCCCTATGTTCCAAGTGTAAATAGTTTTTGAAATTTATTGGACGGCTCAGAAGAATTTTGATATAGTTTCGGAAGCTTGTTAAAAAGATAAAGTGCAAGCATTGTAATCGTATAAGCATAGTCTACACAGGACTGTAACATCGGAATGAGGTGACGGTAAACAAAGGCTTAAACACATGGGATGTCAACGATAAATGTGCACTAAGTTAGGACGAACTAAAACTAAATCATTCAGACCTCGTTAGATATTTTTTTTGAAATTCCATTCTACATTAAATTATTTTCTCGAAATGTACAATCAAATGATTCATTAAAAAAACAGCGTCCCCACAATAAATAAATAATCGGTGCTTTGATGAAGGTAAATCCAGAAAAGTGCTTCGAACGTAAATAGATTATAAAGTAATATTTTCTTTAGCCTATATTATTCAGATGGCAAAAACAAGGTGAAAAAAACCAACAAGATCTTACAATCTTTTTGATTTTAGATTCATTGTAATCTACGCTTGGGTCTTCGGGGATTAGTGTTTTTGGTGTTTTTAGTTGGACATGATGTACAAGTACTAATAATAGGGTGAGGGGGAGGAGACAAAACGACTCACATCCGATAAACAAAGGTACCTTTTCGGTGGAGGGGCATTTTGCTCACTTAAGCGTCGGAAAAAAGCTCGAGGGTATTCACAGTCTTATAAGGATTTTTTCTAACAAGTGTACAAGTATGTATGTAAAAAATATGTTGGTATTTCTTGTTGTGAATAAATGGAGATGTGGGATATACAATAAGACAGCAACTGGTCGATTGACTACACACAAAACCAAAGGCATCTAGATAACATGTGACTAATGCAGGATGGACAAGAACTTTTTTACTGCTAATTTGTAGTTTTAGTGAAAATTCGTTGTTCCCTTGAATCGGGAAGTCAATAAGTATATTCAGTATAGCAAGTATTAAATCTATCAAATTATAACATCACATGCATGTTCGAATCAATAGTCAGATTTATTTAATTATAATATTTCAACAAATGACAAAATGTTGAACTTTGTCTTTTTAAGGGAAATTTGCATACTTTGCAAGGTTTGTCCAACAAACTACACACACACAACTCACACGTTTACACCATACAGAGTATACTATAATGAGAATGTGTTTTTTATTAGGATATTGATTTTCATTGAAATTTTCACAACTAATAGAATGTTTAAACTTTTTTGACGGATGCATAAAATGTGTTCTTTAGACACAATTATTTGAAATTGCATCGAATCGTCCTGAACATGCATAAATTATTTGCTACTTGACGTTAAGCAACCATCAATGAATCAATTCAAATTGTATTTCAACATCACTGTTGACTTAATCAAATTTTTGAAGCACTTTATTGATTAATGCATGAACGCAGTGGTGGCATCAGCTTTTTCTGGTTTGGTAGGGTTGAGTTGCAGATTAAGTTTTGAAAAGTTACATGTGCACCTGGTTAGGACAAAATAAAATAAAACCAGTAGAATGTTATATTGAATACATAGGACATTTACGAAACCTGACAGGAGAAATGAAAATAAAATAACAAACACCATTCAGATCCTGTTACATACTTTTTCAATACCTCTGAGCATGCTGAGTAAAAAACGTTATTCTTAATTCAGTAACGTCACACGTTTTCTGTCAAATTCTAAGCGTATCGGTCAACTTTGAAGCAATTTATCTAAAAAAACAAGGATGGTGACATATGGGTTTCTATACATGCATGGATTCAGTATAAAATCCTGGTTACTATGTTAGTTTTTAGTCTTTCTACGTATATCAGAACATAGCCATCCAATCAAAAATCTAAAAAAAATAAGTAAAAAACATGGCATGAATATACATTTATGAAAATTTGTCGCCAAAATTGACGTTTTCTTATGAAAGTTACCAAAACAAAAAACAAAACAAAAAAAACGATGACCCCCATTTTTTATTTCATATTCCGATGTAACTCGAATCAAAGTACAAATGTGCCAAAAACTTTAGAAATCGGGAGATATGCCATTTGGTATCGTGTTACTTTAAATGATGCTCTAGGTCGAAATATTTCAAAATCCTAAACGTATTCAAAACTTTAAGAGCTGATGAAACCTAAAAAGGATAAAATGTATAATTAAAGCATTCAATGAATCAGAGCTTTGTATGACGGAGATATATTCCTTAAAGGACACCGACCACTTCAAACAATCATTTGTAAAATAAATCGTAATGGGTTGTAAACATCGTTAATTTCGTAGATTAGTGTGTGACACATATCGTATATCTATAAAAACAGGTTGTATCAGCTTGAAATAACCCTTTTCCGGACATTGCCGATAATTGCCGACAAAAAATAAGCAACCTTCTCGAATGAGTTCGTGACGTCACTTGTGTTGTTTACATCCGCCATACCACGAGAAACACAGATATTTGTAACTCAAATTAGACAAAGTATTCAATGGATTTCGACGGACAGGACAGTGGCGATGAGCCACTTTTAGCTGCTGTTGATAATATTCAACCGTATCAGTTCGAGCCTGTTGTTCATATTGAACAAAACGAAGTAAGCAGTCAAAATCAATCGGACTCTGAGGAAAATTCTAAAGTCGACAAATCTGACTCCTTTGACCTGCAAGACATTCAGATGAATAACTTGGCATGGTATGGTTGATTGTCCAATATCGTCTAACATGATTAAATGCTAAACATTGCAAAGCCGCCGTAGATGTAAATGTGTTTTTGTCCGTTTTTTTTTGTTCCTTTATTAAAAAAAAAGGGTTTGGCATGTGTATATCATACACATTTGCCTACACTCGTATATTTAACACTCCCTGAACTACATACAGAGTCAAATGAAATGAGAGAATGCCATATTTTAATTTTCAAAGAAGATGATGAACAAGACCTATAGTTTTAATTTAAAAAATAGGTACTGATTTTGTTGTACATGTAGTATGTACTTACATAGTCCAAATAATTGTGACGTCTTGAAAGGCTATTATATTTTTTTTGCTGTGACGCCTTGCATGCTAAGGCATCAAAGCAAAAAACAAATAGCCTTTCAAGACGTCATAATTATTTGGACTAGTCACAATGATATCATGGAATTAATGTTATTTTTGATAAATTATTTTTGTTATGCACCATGCTATTTTTTTCACAGTGATGCATTACCTTTTTATAAATTACTTGACCGGTATGACTTTTTTTTTTTAAATTTACATAAATAATAATGGATTTTAGTGATTTATTGTAAAATATTTGCAAGTCAAATCTACATTGTACATTAAATTTCCCAGGTGTGACTGTAACAACTGCACTTTAATGCCCACTGTGTATGAATGCATTTGTTGCAAGGAAGTTGGTCTGGTTGTAGAATAGATAGAAGATGGGGACCTTGAGTGCATAACAGACCATGAGGGGTTCACTGGAAACTGTCTAAATAGACATGTCATTGAGGTCTCTTTGTATGGCTTTGTTGAACGGAAGGGACCAGTAGATGATAATAAACCAATTCATGAGTACGTTCAATTTAATATCGTCGATTGAACATAAATTTTACTTCACAACTATTTTTTTTTAATTACAATTTCAATCAAAAACATGATAAAAAAAATTTCAAGACCAAGCTGATGATGAAATTCAAAACAGTCAAAATAATTAAATCTGGATAAACAAATATATCATCATGAAAATGTGAAATCATCTTAATCAATGCTGACAATCAGTTATAATAATATCCTTGTTCAAGTTTGGAGTATCACTTTGTATAAAGAATTCGAATAATCTGTTAAATATGTTAATTTTTTTTTTCAGATTATATAGCTATAAAGCGTACTGACGATTCACTCGCCGGATCTGGCTTATTCTTGGGAAAAAAAGAAAAAAGTGACACCAGCATGTGCAGAAAGAAAAATTCGGGAGGCATTCCCGTCTGAGTACTTTACTGGTTTCAAATATGCCAGGCCATGATAATTTAAATAAATTTATTTCATGAAGCTCTCAATTACCCGCCCATACTTGTGGTTAAAATCTGTGTATATTTTACGTTTCCACAACACAGCATTGAAAGATAAAAACACTTGATTACATGGTGTAAATTGTGGTAAATACAAGGATAATGGTGAAGAGTTATATTGAACAATGATCACATAATATATTAAAACAAATGTACAAGTATGCAAAGTTGCGAAATGATGTCAGTTTCTAGCAAAAACAACTTGTTCTATGTCTTATAAACTCCTCCTTATCAAAATTAGCATTTGATGCTGTTAGTGGAGGAAGTCTCTGGTATACAACGTTAAAGTCCTCTAGAGCTTCTTTAATGCTTGACAAGTTATTTCGTCTGTCAAAAGTTCTTTTCAGAAGAGCTCCAACATAATCTACAAGACAAATAGAAACAATATGTAGTAGCTCAGCCTCTAATCCACTTAACTTAACAGTGCAAACTTATAGATGCACTTACATGCATGTACATGTGCATTATGCATTTGGAGAATATAACTTTTTCAATTTTAATTGTACAAAAAGAGACTCATTCTATTGTAAATAAACCTTTATAATTCCCATAAATAAAAAAAAACTGCTGAAGAACAATATTATTACAAAGTTAGTGTCTTGCATAGTGCTTTTTATGTTTTTCTAATTGAAGCAGAACGTTTTATGAAATCTTACCATAGGTTGCTTGAACTTTCTGCGGTTTGACAACACATTGCTCTCCTTTTTTTGCTTTAGGGTACGACATTTTCCATTTCAAGATTCCTGCTTTTGTGACAGCTTGCTGTCTTTTTCCATTTTCATTGTAATGCAATGCAGCAATGTAAATCCTGAAGAAAAAAAAAACAGGTACAAAAGCATTTAAATCAACAGATTTATAAAAAAAGAACCTACTAAACTTTTTAACTTATTGCTTCAAAGTTTAAATTTAGCTACTGATGAGTTTATATGTACACTATATGTTGGCCATTAAAGTACAGGTACACACCTTTCACTATTCTGTTTGGTATTGGTTATTTTAACATACTGTACACAATAAATTACCTTGCTTTCATTGAATACTGGAATAAGTGGGTGTTCTTTGGTGCATACTGGTTCACAAGTGAGTTAAACACCTCGATGTCATATGTCTGGTGCACTGGTGACAGCTTTTTAAATCGTTAAGCAAATATTTGCTTTCGATTAATTCCAGAACAAGTTTATGAGATCTGGAACCTAAAAATTAAAAATGAATATCATTTATTTAAAAAAGATAATTTGAGCCATAGAAATGTATAGATTCAAAACTGAAATTAATCACTAGATGCGAACATTGTTTAAATAGTTTCTTTTTTAATTTTTACAAAAACATGAAAAATCACAATTGGGTTTTTTTTCATAGAAATATGGAAACCATTTTTATTTCAAGATATTTGTTTACCTTGTTTAAGCCAAGCTCATTGTTCCTCAAGCTCTCCATGGATACATTGCGGAAGTACATCAGATTCATGGACATGTTATTGATGATGATGTTGGACATTGATGTCCATTTGTGTGTATTTTCACATTTTGATCTTCCGCACTTGATGCAGCTACCCAATATGTATGGTTAACAATGCTCTTTATCCATGGTCTTATGTCTCATTTATCTTTCTTCTTGGCTCTGTTTTCAACTTTTTTTATATTCCTGTAAGCATTGGATTCAAGTAAATATTTCGAAATGCATATTTTTTTTATTAACATTCTAAGAGTATTGCGGTTTTATAAAACATGATTTGTTATTCAATTAAATGTTCTCACAACTTGATTAGATTGTATAAATAGCTATAGTAAGAAGTTGAGTGAGTTATACCTTTTGCTATATGCCATACATCGAATTAATGATATATTTCTGGATTGTTGTCCTTCATAAACTACTTTATCATAACGTGTCTATTTGTGACAAGCGTCGAGACTTCAATATGATTAGTGTCCATAAGAAGGGACAAACCCCTCTTTAGTCCTTCAAATTCCATATGGGTTGACCCCTTAACTTCATTGGACTGAAATAAATAAGCAAATAATGAAATTATTTGTCAACATGATTTATTAAAACAATGAGATTTGGGGAAAAATTCATGAAATACCGGCCACTGGACAGCAACAATAAATCCGTTTTATAGTAGTATGCATAATAAGCTGTATTTATTTGGGATCATTTATACAGATCTAATTCAAAACTTATATGAAAACAATGAGATTTGGGTAATATTCATGAAATACTTGCCACTGGACAGCAACTCTAAATCCGTTTTATAAAAGTATGCATATTAAGCTGAATTTATTTGGAATCATTTATACAGATCTAATTTAAAACTGACATCGAGAACCCTTTCAAGAGTTAAATTAATGCAAACCTGAACAAGCTGAATGTCCAATATTTTATTTGTGTTCAAGTCCATCAGGGTATAACTGCCATATTTAGCACTATAACCAGGACTGTCACACCTTCCGTCGCCACCAAGTATTATTTGTTTATCTGGACCTGCAATATTAAAAAGTGTAATGCATGAAGATTATAACATTTTTATTTATATAGTAAACAATGAAATTATTTCGTACAGAAAATATATTATGTTCTGTTACAAGATACCTAATTTGAGAGTGGGAGAAATGAGTATAGAAATAAACATGTATTCCAGGAAATAAATTAAAAGAGACTTAATTATAAGAAACGAAGTAATACTATGAAGAAATATACATACCTTGCAAGGAAGTAAGCAGATCTGCTTGATGCGAGTCAAATTCATAAATAACAGCACATGATGTGTATGCTGTTTGCAGTCTTCTAACCGAGCGTTCACTAATGCCTTTCAGTTTCATTTGATTGAATAATCTTACACCTTTGGCTGTATTATTTCCGCTAAACATTATGGCACTTGCAAGTAAAAGGTTTCCCGATGGTAGTCTTTCATGACAGTTTTTGGATTTCCACCTGTAGACGTGTCCCAAAGCACATACGGATGATGTAGATATCATTGTCCCTCTACTGAATTTAATTATTGGAACGCAACGAAGGTTACACTCTCGGCATACTGAGAGTAACTGAAATAATGCTGTTTCAGAGACCATGTAGTACTTTTCATCAACTGGATCTTTACCTTCTTCCAATCTGTAATTGCTTGTTTCTTTTTCATCATCAGAACCATATTCATCGTCCCCATCTTCTTCCTCGGACTCGTTATAAATATAATCAGGATCATTATCATATTCATCTACATCATCTTCATTATCATCCATCTCATCATTGTCATCCAAGTTTTGTTCGGTCTGTACCTGTGTATGGCTACAGCTTGTAGTATTTGCGGTTATCAATTTGTTTTGTGTGGCGACTAGATATTTTGAATCAATATCTGAAGGGTCACACTGGATACCTTTAGATTTTCTCTTGGGCTTTAATGTTTGTAATCTTCTTGTTTTCTGTGGAATGGAATCTGTTTGAAATTTTTGAGTTGTCATGTTTGTGGCATCGGTATTAGAAACAGTTGTCTCGAATGTTTTTTGTATATCTGCCGGAATTTCTTCCTCTTCCCGGTTGTCCGTACTGTCATATGTGGGTGACAATTCTGTTTCAATGTCAATGAAGTCTAAAGACTTATCTAATGAATCATTGAAGGCCTCTTCAAGAACCTATAGGTGAAATCAAATTTTTATTTAAAAAAATGCTTTCATTGAAAAAACTGTATACACATACATGGATGTAAAAAAATCATATATCCCGTTAATTCACCTTTTTGTTTTGTCGTGGTATTCGGGAAAGGACTGTGTCGTAGATTTCTTGTGGAATGGAATAATTGATATGTTTTTTTTTTTTCTTTATTAAGACTAACGAAACCTTATTCGTTTATTTTATGTTATAAGAGTTTCAGACCTCTTCTACAAGCCAAATTATAAATTATCACCAAGCGACTCATTTCATAAAAAAGTATACGAAAAAAAAATAAAATATCCGGAAGTTTTGAACATTTCAGTATTACTTACGATCGTTTTTTTAATGGATCGTAGTATTATTTACATGGATATATACCTTTTCATGTAAATAAGATAAATACCTGTGACAATTTTCAGTAGAACAAAAACGGGAAGAAAGATATACAAATATAATAATTGTTTATAAGTATAGAAACCATACAGATAACCATGAACGAATTTTTCACATAAGTTTCGATGAATAATAAAGAGGATCAATTGTACCTGACGTTTCCGTTTTTTTTTCGAAGGCCGACCTAGGTTTTTTAGGAGAAGATGGTCCTTTTTCTGCATCCACAACTACAGGAATGTGGGGTATGGCGTCATCTTTCAGTGCTGCCTTTGCACCCGGATATCCCAATTCTAAAATTCTTTCTGGGTGTCTGCTATACTGATGAAGGGTAAAATGCTTAGAACAAATTCTGCTATGTTTAGACGGTGTAAAGTCCTGTCGTTTACAATAGTGAACCCAAGCACGATTTCTCTGCGAATCTTTCGAAAAAGTAAACCAATATATATTTGTGTCACATTGAGAATTGCTATTGCATCCGTAAACCACACAATACGACATATTTATATTAATATTTACGAAATAAATAATAATTACTTCTTACTTTTGAATAATACTACTGCATAAAGATTTGTTTTTTACATAAAACTAAAACATGTATGTAATATGAGATATGAATGGAACCCTATACTGATGGCATGTCTGTATTATCTATATAATATTACCACTGAGAATATACAGCTGGTAACACAAGTGGTGTCATAGCCGTGATTCTCGTTATCGTGTCTAAAAATATGCATACAAGGGCGATCAAGGCCATCTGTGTTTACACTAATGATTATCACATTCCCTGATAAGAAATACACACAACAACATGAAGATATCGATTTTATTAACTATGAAGGTTTTACTTTACACATGATTGTTTGAAGTGGCCGGTGTCCTTTAATTCTGAATCATCTCCAAAATGTTGTAGCAATAAATTTCAATAACCCAATATTCGTATTTTTATGACATTACGGAAGTACAGATCGTTCCCTTTCTGCATTGGAAATTCTTTAAAAATACAATTTGATTTTATTCATTTTTATTATAATCTATGATTTACCTCCTTTTGCTTTTTCAGCTAATTTGATTCCTGGAATAAAGTTGGGTCTGTCTATAAATTCCCGTCCTCGTTTCTGTAGAACATCAATCACATGTTTATGACCCTGTACAAAAACAATCTGGTATGGTCCTAAAAACATTCGAAACATTGGTCCATACTGCCTTGTCATCTCCTCCACAAACTTGACCCTCTTTGGTGTACTATTAAACTGACTAACAAGTAGAATATTTCCAAAAATAGGCCATGCGCGTGGTCCTGGAATATCCGATTTCGGACATGTCATCCACAAAACTGTCGCAAGAAATATTATTAAAAATATAAATGTAGCTGTTAGATCGATTCCTTCTAAATAGGAATATGCGATATCCATTGCAAAACAGAAACAGATAATATACTTGTGGTGAATACGTATGTAATCTTAGTAAATCCTATTTATATGATGAAAAACTATTATCGTTCTTTATATAAACCTACGTAGAAAAAAGTATATTCGTAACACACAGGATTTACCATGAAGTCCAGATCTCTGTTCCAGACACGCTCATTAATAACTTTTATTTAATGACCCATTTAAGTGTCTTTAACGTTGTGAATGTGCTGACCTAGATTTAAACGTGTTTATACTCTGACACATTGTTTTTCTTGATCGCTCAGATGTAAGGATTTATTTTTAACCGGTATTTCTGTCTTATATTACCTGTTAAACAACTAAGTGTAGGTTTACTTTAAAAATACATATATGACATTTCTTTGTAATTCATTGGAATGTTAAATATTCATTACATAAAAATGAGAAGCTTGTATCTATTGCTAATGAGACAACTCTCCACCAGAGACCACATGACGTAGAAGCTATAAAAGGCCCCGAAATGGCAAATGAATCACAAATGTAAAACAATTCGAATGAGAAAACTAACGGCCTGATTTATGTACAAAACAATGAACAAAAACAAATATGATATACAGCAATAACCATTGAATTACAGGCTCCTACAGGGACATATAAAATGTGGCGGGGATACGCTAGTTTGTTGGTGCCAAACCCTCCTCCTAACCTGGGACAATGGTGTAACAGTACAACATAAGAACAAACTTTAAAAATCAGTTGAAAAGGGCTTAAATCTTCAGACATATACAAAACAGAACAGGATCTAACAAAAACACAGACTGGACGTGACAGGGTACTATTTATACATCCCCTCAATAAAAAAGGTATTGCGATTAGTGAGTGTTTTGATTTAAATGCCCAGATATAACCATTGGTATATCATATCTGAACATTTCTGTTTTATCTAACATAACGGACACGGATGCATCGTGCAGTACGCCATGATGTATCATTGTTAATAAAGGTCCATTAGGGATACCTCTCCTAATAATAAATAACCTTAAGAATACTTTTACTCAAAGAATCAATCTTTTGGATCGTATCTTAATTGACGGGCTCTATTAAGAACACCACCGTTTAAAGGATGTGTTTGTCGGTAAAACATAAGTAGGGGCTCTCGGTGGCCAAGTGGTATAAATGTAAACGATCTCGATGGCCAGGTGGTCTAATAGACTAAGTTTATCTAACAAGCCATTTAAGCGAACAATAAACATGTTGCTCATTTGTTGTCGGTATTGAAGATAAAAGTATTTTACTTTATTTTTTCGAAGATAGATTTATACAAGTTGTTATATTTGTGTTTTATGGTGTGAAACTCAGGGGCTTAACCATGTCAATCGTCGTATAAAATAGCATTTTGAGAGAAAGTAGAACCCAAAACATGTCCACAACGACAATACCCTGGTGTATAGAAATTGATCTCAGTTTCTCTCTGTTATGGTAGACCCCCCCCCCCCCCCCCCCTCCTTAAAAAGGAAGAAGAAATGGGAAAAATGACATTTAAATAGCATGCATAGCCACATCAATGATCAAGTGGAAGTTGGGACGATCTATGCCTTGTGTTTGGAAAAAAGTATCTCTGCAAGTTAACATACCCTTTTAACAACTTATTTAGGAGTTTGTAGTTTTTCCATTGCAAGGCAAAATATGTGCCCCTACCCAACATGTTAACATTCTCCTGTGCAAGTTAAAATTTTGGCAGTTCATCTTTGTAAAACAACTTTCCATGCCTATGTATGTTCTGGTAGACACATGTACCCCAATAACTCGAAAGCTCTCCTTGACAGCTGCGAACTGCCTCGGTGTTCACGTGGTAGCGTGTTCGCCTCGAGTGCGGGAGGTTGTGGGTTCGAAACCGGGTCGGGTCAAATCAAATACTTTAGAATTGGTAATTGATATTTCTCCGCTAAGCTCGCGATATTAAGGAGTAAGAGCAAAGACTGCTCTGCTCGGAGTCAATATAATGTGTCCAGGTAAGGTGATGTTTCTTCCTGCGAACTGTTACCTTGTGAACTAGCATGTTAAAAATCCAGCTCACTGTGTCGGTCTAGTACAAAAATGAAAACAACACGTTTCATAATTTCATGCGTCCGAAGCGCTTTTCTGGATTTACCTTCATCAGGAATGCTCAATGTCAAACATTTGAAATCCGAGGGATGTATAAGTACCAGGCAGGGTTTATATATTCATATTACATTAACATGCTCTCTTCCTTGATATGCATATTAATTTGCCGCTGGACGTTAAGCAGCCGTTCATCATCATCGATAGCTGCGAGGGAACAGTGGTATTTGTTTTAACTCCCTATCAGAATTAATGGAGATGTGCCACTAACTTATGTACAACCAACTACCATAGACAATCCTAAACCCAACACCAAGTATGTTATGTTTGAAATTAGTTAACTGAACATCTATGCAATATTTGCCACTGGACATCTCAGTATATAGACGAAATAGCAAAGTAACTTATTAAAATTGTTTTCATGCATGTACATGTACATTTTACCTGCATACTGTGATACACGATGATCATGTAATTCAAATAAATGATAAATTTCATGATTATAAGAAGCTTTTATTCCTTTTAAAGGGCCTATAAAGACAAAATGAAAGTCCAAAGTAACTTATTAAAATTATTTTCATACATGATTATAATGTACATGTATGATAATCACGTGTTAATATGGTTAATACTGTCACATTATCATTTTATTTGTATAATATTTCTTGGCCAGACACAAGCAATGTTACCTATAGTTATATTCACGTCATTTTGACTCATAGTGGATATGGATAGATGTCTCATTGGCAATCATACCACATCTCTTTATTTTTACATTATCATACCAATATGCCAATAATAGTGAACTTTTAATAGATGCATTTGGTTTTGGGGAAGAAAGTAGACCTCAAAATGCAGAATATGGATTAAAACTAGAAAATATCACACATTGTACCTTAAAACTTACATCAAAAATATCTAAAACAAACACTGTAACAGTAGTCAGAAAAATAGTCTGATTACATCTAGATACATATATAAAATTTGCATATTTGAGATCATTAATAGTGCTTTCAGAAATGATATTACAAACTCAAATTTTGAGGCCATTTAGGCTATCTCAATCTTAATTCGTTTAAAAATATTTTTAACAATATATTAGATTTTGAAATTTTATAGAATTTTATCGAATGTATATTAATTTTAGAAATGAGCAAACATGTACATGTATGGTTCAGTAAAATTCATAATTGCCAACTTTTCAAAAATGCCATGGTGGACTTTAAGTGCAAGATGACTTAATGGCTAATGCTCCTCTAACATTGTATATTGTCACAAGTGTTTTTAATCTACTACTGTATTGTTTGAATGAGTATGTTCGTGCTTAAATCCCCTTTACCTCATTTGAATGATTGTATAATTAAGATTTTCAAAGTTGGGCCAACATAGCTCGTTGGAGAAATCCACCAATAAATTGTGAAAATTGTTACTGTTAAATATATTATTTGACTTCCTTAGATCTAAAATTTGTTTGGATAAATGTTTATTGTTGAATTGTCTTTCAGAAATGGTCTACCAGTACTTGAAGTGCCAACGCCCATGTTCCAAATTAGAACATTATGATTGGTTCTCCAATGTCTGAGCGAGGCATTGCACTTTTAATAAGGTCTGACATTCCACCTAGACCTTTACCTGAGAAAAACACCAGAAACTATTCCCTGATGTAATTTTGAATAAGACTAAATGGGGTATTATAATAGAAACACAAAGGATATGGGGATATATGACACAAAATCAGTACTTACTTTTATTGCTGTTCTTCATCTCAAATCTTTATATTAGTTTGCCATTATGACAGATATTTATGTTCATGTACCATTAGTTTAATCATTGAAAATTGCAACATTGTTACTTTGTATATATTATGAAGTAAAATCTCATAAATAAAGGCAACAGTAGTATACCGCTGTTCGAAATTCATAAATCGATTGAGAAAAAAACAAATCCGGGTTACAAACTAAAACTGAAGGAAACACATCAAATATAAGAGGAGAACTACGACACAACAGAAACACAACATTAAAATGTACACACAGAAACGAACTATAATATAACAATGTCCATTTAAATGACTTGGTACAGGACATTTTAAGAACAAAAATGGTGGGTTGAACCTGGTTTTGTGGCTAGCCAAACCTCCCGCTTTTATGGCAATGTTAAATATAACATTAAAATGACAACATTACATGACAGGACTACAATACAAATAAATGGGACAACATATAGGACAGAGAAACATACGAATGATAGCTAACAAAAGGTTCCAGGTTTAAAGTTTAATACGCTAGACGCGCGTTTCGTCCACACAAGACTAACCAGTGACGCTCAGATCAAAAAAGTTCGAAAGCCAAAACAAGTACAAAGTTGAAGAGCATTGAGGACAAAAAGTTCCAAAAAGTTGTGCCAAATATGGCTAAGGTTTTCTGTCTGGGATAAAAACATCCTTAGTATTTAGATTAATTCATACTTTTGCAAACAGTAAATTTATAAAAATGTCTATATAATAGATATACATGATAACACCGAAGTGGTGACTAACTACAGAATAAAAACGGATACATAAAACAACATAAACCAGCACATAAAAATTCACAGCCGAGTTAGCAAAAGAGATCAACGCACAAAGTAACGTCACATTTGAATTTCTAAACATTTTCCCCAAAATAGGATAGAATTAGGATAGAATTCAAGATAAGGTTTGTAATACTCATATAACATTTATTAATAACAATGAAAATTACAATACTAATTAATATAAAATTGTGGTAGTAATTAGATAATTAATTGTATTATCTAGCTATGTCGGTGTTTCTTCTAAATCAAAATTGTAAACCAAATATACCGTATAGTATAAATTTAGTTGACCCAAACTATAATCTTATAAATGAACTGGGTGATTAATTATCTTTACTATAACAGAAAAAAATAAGATTTACAACTACAAACGATAAGACATTTGACAAAATCCGATGAGAATACCAAATATAACATCAAATCTAAATACATGAATTTTGGCTAGAAAAGTACCATGACACATCTTATAGCAATGCGAATTCACACTCAGCAAAACAGTCACAATCGGGAATAAGTCACGTTCGGTAATTAAAAGATCAGACGACGTAATGTCAAATCACAATCTAACACGTGGTAAAAATGTCCTTAGTTAGTTTGGACAAAGACACATCGTATGGATCAACCAATTCGTGATGGTGTCCGTAAAATTTACGGAGTGTC